AATATAATTGATTTTATATTTGGCAAGCTATAGCTATTACTGAAATACATAGAAATGCAATGACGCAAATACATCTGCCTAAAAGGTAAGTCCTGACTGCTTCAATGAGGTTACATTTTATTGGTGGCCCTCAAAGTCAGGTCCCTGGCCCAGCAACAGCTACATCCCCTGAGAGGTAGATGTGCAGGTTCTTAGGCCACACCCAGACCTAAGTAAAATCACAATTCTGGGATGAAGCCCAGGTCATCATAATACCTGCTGAAGTATGAGAACCAAAGCCTCTAAAGCAGCTTGAAATACAGAAGAGAAACTCTGAATTTATGACTTTTGTTCAGGTATAATTGATGTAAATACAGTAATAATCAACTATGTAGTTGATTATTTCTTTCTTTTATTTAGTGCTCAAACACAGTATAGTCTGACAAATAAAGAACATGACTCAGAAGGTTAGAAGCCATGACTTAATTTCCAAGCATTTCTTATACCAAAAGAATTTAGGTTTATGTTCCCCTTGGTGTTATACTGAAAGGGATAACATTATGGTGCATTTTGCATTACAACCTAATGAAACAAATACAAACTAAGTCAAGACAGGATTATTTCCAAGGAGTAGAGAACAATCTTCATGAAGGAAAATAATTTTCTACAAAACATGTATTATTCTTATTTGTATCAATACATGTGTATGTCCTATTTTCTCTAAGGCAAAGCCAAATTCTCCTTCAATTTTTTCCCTGAGATAAAAGCCATTTTAAATTAACAACAAATATACCCAGGCACAGGTTTTTTTTTTAAAAGAGAAGATATACAAAATTGTTTATCGATGTAATAATTTTATCCTAAACACTACTATCACTAACTACTATGTTTCAATTCTCTTACTATTTGAATTTTTATTAATTCAAAATTTCTCAAAGAATACATAAACTACCAGTTTCCATGAAGAATCAGCATTTACTCAACTTCTTCAGTAGAGAGACAACTTTTTTCTCATCTGTAATATATAAATACAGTTTTAATAAATAGACTATTTGTAAAACATATTAAGTGCTTATGAGGGTAAGAACAAGAGCAAAAATCTTGTATTTTCACTCTCTAGAAAATGTAATTATTTGTGTCTGACTTTTGTGGTAACAAATATAATAGTGTCAAAACATCCTGATCTTTATGCTTAATCTCCTGGCCATAGTTCAGATATTCTGACTATTATCTAGGGACATGTGTGTTAGAATTTCCTCTCTGTATACATATGTGTAATATGTATGTGTGTATTTGTTTAAATGTGAATTTTAAAATATGGACTTAGATAAAATTATAAAATCATACAAATCTTTTAGCTTCACCTACCTGAGGTTGCAAGTTTACCTATCTAGGTATCTATCAGTCATTACCAGGAAGGCTAGATGAAACATTCTAGTTAAAAAGGATTGGCTTAATTAATTAATTCAGGGCATGCATTTGTGCATGTGGGTGTACATGTGTAGCTGTGTGCACTGGTGACGATTGGGAAGAGGTTAAGAAGGTATCAGAATGGCTGGGTTACCTTCTGAGGATTTGGTGTCTTTTTTAAATAACTTACTAAGTATCCTTTTATGAGAGGAGAGTCAGTATTTCTCTTAAGGCTCTATTTCCTTCTTAATTATATGTTACTGTGACAGTTTCAACACCCCTCTTCAAGGCTTTCAAATCTGAGGAATAAAATTAATCATGGTGATTGCAAGGGTGTCCATGGAAATTATCTACTTCCATCTGTCTTTAGCTCCCTGCAGAACATAAAGAAAACAGTTTCCCTTTCTGTTTGAGTGGTACCTTAAAGCTGTAGTTTAATAAACCACTTGCTGGCTGCAGAGTTTGTGTAGGTGAGAACTTGCAGATCTTAGACATTAAATGTATTCCAAAGAACCTGGTGTGGAAATTTGAGAGTGGAATGTAGATAAAATGAAATTTAAACACGATGCATTTTAATATAGAATATACTCTCAAGTCATTATACAAAATGCATACTAACGGATCATATTCTCCACTTCCTCTTATGACTACAAGATGCTCTTGATACTTTTGTGCTCTTTGCAAATTATTAAAGTAGTGAATTTATCTTTATCCGGTGACAAAGTGGACTTTCCCACTTGTGAAAAAATGCAACAGTGTGCAGAATTTACAAGGGAAAACAGTACATAAAAGCCACATTTGTCAGTAAAATAAAACTCTGGAACTCCAAAATTCACACCAAAATGGGTATTTTCGGGTGAGGAGGATAAAGGACCCATGGAAAGCAACTCCCTCCCCTGTGTCTCACTTTCCCTTGACATTGCTCCTTGTGATTCCTATTGTCATGCACCATACTGGCTTTAGAATGATACTGTTAGCTCTGCTTGAATAAAACTTCTTTGATATTTTTTGGTGCAGATGAGTAGGCCAAACTAGAGACTGAAAAAGAAAGTACAAGAAATGAACAGAACTAACATATAAAAGCAGACTTCTGTTCATTTTCAAATTCGTTTTCTTTAGAGACTACTGGTCCAGTCCTCTTATGGAGCTTGGGGATGGTGGGGCGGAGCAGAAATGATCTCACCTTGGTTTCTCACTGACAGCTAGCTCCCTGCCTGTCTGCGACAACCATGTAGATTTTTTCAACCTTTTTATATTCAAGGTATAGAGAACTCAAGCTTTCCCTTTATTTACCTGAGAGCCTTCCTCTGAATTCCTGTTTTCAGTTTGAGCACATGCTTGTTTGCCAGGAACCTAGCGTTGTTGAAGTCCTGTTTGCTGAGAGTGAAGTCAAAGCTTGACGACCAGAGAGAAAGTCTCGGGGCCTAGTGCAGGAGCCAGAAACTGAAGTCACCGCAGCGCGACCCAGCAGATACTTGGATCCAAATCAGAAGCAGCAGAACAAGTCAAGGGGACTGGTTCCTATGGGGTGGACTTGTGGTTTGGATTTTAGACCTGTGTATATAAGTTGCATGATTTGGTTGAAGGACTAAGATTCATGGGTACAGCCAGAAATGACCTCACCTTTCAGGTGCAAAATTGATGTCTTCCCACCTTCTCATTTTAAATAGAATAAATACCATTAGTACGATAGAGGAATATTCACATTTATAGACAATGGACAGTATAATAACACTTCAGAAATGCTGCACCACTCACAGATAGCAATATGCTAACATCGCCTATCAGGACTTGAAAACCTGATATGCTTTCCTGCAATCTGTTGTACTATAAAGGACACAGCGCCTTTCTTTCATTCTTTTCTATTTTTCTCAGATATTTATATGAAAGTATTAATATACTTAGGACAGAAAAAAGATATGTCCCAATCATAAAAAACTTTGGGGATGGCGATGGGAGCAGTGGACCTCTAGCAGCCTGGAGCACTTGGAGTCCATTTATGGGAATAAGATTCAGTGTTACCTCCTTCCTTGGCTTCCTGACGATTAGAGACAGAGTGAGGGGCAGCGCTGACACATCCAGCCACCCACAGAGGAAACTCTGGCTCTTCTTTCCTGGGCAGTAAGCGTAGAGGGCCCAAGGGATTTCTTCCAGCCCCAGCTCCAGATGTTGTTGAAGGAAGACTGAGGTCTTCTGTCTTAGTGAGTAGGTGGGGACCAATATCCTGATGGATTAATAAAATAGTCAACAAGAGACAAGATTTGGGGTTTTTCTGGGAAGCTCCCAGAGTCTCTCTAGCAATTTTTAGGAACACAATACATTTTGACTTGGGGGGGCAGAGTTTGCAGCACCTTGTGTGGCAAGAGAAGCAGAGTCTTTGGATGTTAAGGTAGGAAAACCTTAAATCACTAAGTCTTCAGTTCATGAAAAAGAAAGTGAAAAATGTTCCTAGTTTTAAAAATTCCTAATTAAATGACTGTGACCTACCTGTAATTAGTTGATGCAGATAATTCTAAACTATTAAAATAGTGCAATACATTTTTTTTTAGATCTAGAATTTGACTCTTCACAATATATTTCTTGGGAAATACATCTCCAATAAGAGATTATGTATTCAGTAGATAATTTTCTTGGGAAAAAAAGTTTTAAAAAATACTTTACTAGGCATCCACATTTCCAGCAATTTCTGAATTAGTTTCCTCTGCTATGAGTAACTGACAACCTGTGATTTATGGACTTGGAATAATTGAATTTCTTGGCTGTCAGATACTTTGAGTAAGAAATATTACATATGTTTTCAGAAAAATGATTTAAGGGAGAAAACGAGTGAAGTGATGCCAAGTTCTGAAACTGTATTTGGAAACTGTGTTCTAACCAAATGGTACTTAAGATGCTCTCTCTAAGTTTCTGAAATGTGTTCGCTAAATAATGTTTGAAAATGCAGTTCTAATCATGCTGCTTTCCAGCTAAGTCAATGAAAACAGTGGAGAGCAATTTATTGTTCTCACCTTCTCAAGCCCAAGAAATGTAGAATTTGTCAGTGATGCATGGTGAGGAGCTGAGTCAATTTCTTCAAGAACAGGAGTCACACAATATCTTATTTTATCTGTCAAATATAAAATATTGAATGAATTAGTGGAATCATTGTGTGAACAGATTTTTTTAAAACGTTACATCTCTACCACAACTTCTCAGCTTCGCTATGTGTTTGACTTACACTGTATTTTGGCTAGTTTCGTTCAGTCTTTGGATTTAACCAGTTCACCAACTTCAAATTTCATGGAGTGTTTACCAAATTTCAAAGAGTGTTTACCCTTTTCAGGTTCTATTGTAATGATAATTGGTTGACCATGGAAGAAATTTTTAAGTACTGAGGGTGAGGACCAGTTCTCTGAGTGCTTTTGACTAACTCAGTCCAGTAGGAATTTCTGAGATGATGGAAATATTCCGTAACTGTAGTCCATATATAGCTCTTTAGCACTTGGACTATGACTAGCTCAACTGAGAACTATTTGATTTTGTTTTAATTAATTTATATTTAAATGTAAATACATGTGGATAGGATTGTGGCTACTGTATCAGATATTATAGTAAACCTTAGAACAGTGCATTTATGACCCTGAGCAATTCAAGTCTACACTTGTGGGTAGCACTAACATTGGTTGCTTGGGATCATATTCATGGGTGCTCCTCAGCATCCATGGTTCTAAATTAGGGGGTGATACTTCCCTAATTTTGGGCTTCCCTGGTGGCTCAGAGGGTAAAGCATCTGCCTGCAATGCGGGAGACCCGGGTTCGATCCCTGGGTTGGGAAAATCCCGTGGAGAAGGAAATGGCAACCCACTCCAGTACTCTTGCCTAGAAAATCCCATGGATGGAGGAGCCTGGTGGGCTGCAGTCCATGGGGTAGCAAAAAGTTGGACATGACCGAGCGACTTCATTTTCACTTCCCTAATTTAGAGAGGTGTAAATTTGTTGGGATATTTTTTATTGTTACAACTGGTGTCCTCCAGGCATTTAGTGGGTGGTGGCCCAAGATGCTTAATGGCTTGAAATGCATAATACAGTCTGCACAATGAATTACTGTCCAACCCAAATGCCAGTAGGAACCAATGTGACAAATCCAAATAGGTCAGCCAAGTTCTCTAAATATTTCAGCCGAAGGATTCATTTGTGAGATCTGCAATCTCAATGCTATCTATAGTTAATTCTATCTCCTATGACCTGTATCTTATTTCCTCCTGCCTCAAGGATCTCACCTTCTTTTATCATGCTCATTTTATTCTGTGTCCTTAACTTCCTGTCTATATTTGAACATACTTTAATCTTTCCAAATTATGTCAACTAGGAAAAACTAAATACCATTTCTTAATTTCATATCCTCTAGCTGGGACTCTCTCTGCCTCATTCACAGCATCCTGTCCCCTGCCAGTCTCAGAACTGTACAATTATTCATCTAGCTATAGGGAGAAGGGACTATTTCCTGTACTGTGATAGAAAGAATGTTCACACCATATGTAAGTTTCAAAACACACCATTTATTACACAGACAAATCAACAGTTATCATACCATGTTCCACTTCTAAACAACTGTATATATGTATGTGTAGAGACACATACACACATGTTGAAAATTTTTTAAACAGAGTTCACTTCTTTATGCTTATAATTACTGGACCTTTTAGTAGCTAGTCTCTATGGCACACCACCACATTAGTGTCACATTTTTTTTTCTAATTTAGTATCACATTACTTTTTCCCAAGGGTAGGCTCATACTAAAACTGTAATGTAGTCACTTAAAATATTCTAGTTCAAAGTTTTTTGAAAATTTAATTTTCAAATACTTGACAAATGTCTTCCTAACTTCCCCTACTTACCTCAAAAAGAATCACTGCACATCCCAAATAAGTCATTCTAAATAACTGAGTCCTGAGTTGTTGGGCTAAATATTAAAATAATTAAAGATGTATCTATATTTGGTTAAATACATTGTAGACTACTTGGATAACTGTGATGATAGCATCTCTTCTTAACTCTATGTCAAAGCAGTCATGTGCCTGCTTTTGTCCTTTATGCGTAATTTATTATTTCAAAAGGCATTAAAACATCTTACTGATATATTATAACTCTGTATTGTACAAACATGTCTACAAAGAAATGCCACCTAAAATGAGAGTTAGTAGTTATTCTTTCAGTACAAAACTACATCCTTGCATAAATTCAGTATAACTGTATATACACAAAATACCTGTGTTATATAATTTAGATTTTCAGTGATTAAAAAATAATTCCTAATTATGGCTCAAATAAACAGAAATGAATTGCCACAAGTTATATTCTCATAAATATTTTCAAAGACCATGTTGTTTTCTCTCCAATATATAGTATCATAGGTTAATATTTTAACATTCCGTTATGGAAGTGAAGAACTGAATCTAGCTATTTAAACATAAGCCTATCTTTTAGCTTCCTTCTACAAAGATCTCTTTCAGGTTCTTTTGGTACAGGCATTCTTTAGAATGATCTGTCTGCATTTTTCCATGTGAATTGTAAAACAAAACAAAAATCCTAAGTTAAACTCTAACAAAGCTAATTGTAACTTCATCTTTTGGGCATACATCATCTGTTCTTTTATGTAATTTTAATTGGGCTATAATGTATTTGAAATATAAGTGTCGTGAATAATTGCAGGTAATTCTATCTATACTTATAAACATGGAAGCATCTGAATTAAAGTTATGTTTATAAATCAATAATAGTTGTTCTTAAATAAATACCAAAATAATAGATTGCCAAATAATTAAGCAATTTGTCTTGATACTATTCAGACCACTTAACCCCATAAATTTCAGCCACAGTGATATTTACACATAACAGACATAATAAAAGAAATAAAACTATGAAAATTTAGTAGAAATTAAATGTGATTCTGTGGGCAGAGAAAAGCCTTGAAAAACCACTTTCCCATTTCTATGGGAACAGAATCTTGATAATACTCCCAGAGCATCACAATTTATTTTCTACTACATATTTACATCCATGAATGTTATAAATATGTGCTATATATATTTTCTATATTTACAAAGATACACATACACACAAACATACTTTATCGTTAGGCTCATTCACAAACATGCACATCAATCTGCACAGTATAATCAAAAGATACTTCTTTTACTTAAGTGATATTCATTTATAACTCTTTGCTCTTTTGTGCAAAAATATCATACAGATTAATATTCTCTCTCTCTAAAAAAACCCTCTTTTTTATGCTTTATGTTTTGTTAATTTACAAGAAAATTATGAAACATAGTTCATTCACAAATTGAAAATAATTACAATGTTTTTACAACAAGGCATTGCTGAGGTTTTAAATTGTGGCATTCTTTGAAGCCATCGTCTTTCAGAACAAAGACATTGGTAAATTATTGTTATTTCTTGATATTTGCACTTTTTAATTACTTATATGAAATATGTCATTACAAATCTAACATTCATGCTAGTCAAGTAGTGTTTATGTAGAATATGAATCTTTCTATTTTAACTATTTTTTTTTTTCCTGGAAAGTCTTTTATAGAATGGTCTGGAAAGCTGATTGAAATTACTGTATTAGAATATTTCTGGAAAGTTTTTCCCCAGTTTAAAAAAAAAGCTGAAGGAATAAAGTGAGACAAAATTGAAGAAGAAGAATTTCAGCGAGTATTCAGGAGAGATAACAGCAAATGCAAGAACTATTTTAACTTATCTCCTAGTCCTTTGGTATTTCTTTGCCTCATGAAAAGTGTTCAGTTCTTTAAAACATTGATTATACTCTTCCATTAAATATCAGCTGTGGTCCTCCATTGCTCATGTTGTCTGTCATTTCCTGTTAGGAAAATAAAATTAATTAAAATTCACTTTCAGAATAAGACATTAATTTGGTTTATTGGTTTACAAAACAGAAATTTCTTTTTTTTATTTTTTTATACTGTAGTGGTTTTTGCCATACACTGACATGAATCAGTCATGGATTTACATGTGTTCCCCATCCGATCCCCCCTCCCGCCTCTCTCCCCATTCCATCCCTTTGGGTCTTCCCAGTGCACCAGCCCTGAGCACTTGTCTCATGCATCCAGCCTGGGCTGGTGATCTGTTTCACCCTTGATAGTATACTTGTTTCAATGCTATTCTCTCAGAACATCCCACTCTTGCCTTCTCCCACAGAGTCTAAAAGTCTGTTCTGTATATCTGTGTCTCTTTTTTTGTACAAAACAGAAATTTCAAGCCATTGAAAAACTTGCTGAGTTTGGGGGGAGGACAAGGATTAATATTGCTGATTTTGAGAAAATTATATTTCAAGCCATCTTGAAACCGATGGAAATGCTGAACTGACAGTCTCTTAGACCAAAGTCTTCTACTCACAACAAGAGTTTAATCTCTCCTCAGTCCCCCTATCATTCCTCATCTCTGTTTTGGAAAGACCTCACCTAGAAAAAAAGATGGTTAAATACCCAAGTTTTTCCAGTGTGTAGGTTTGTCTGTTGAGCACATCAACAAATTGCCAACAGATGCTAGGGGATGCCTTTACTGTGTCGAGAACCCTGTGGCCTTTTCTGAAGAACTGAAAAAGGCAACAGAGGGACTGCCTATCTGTAACTGAGCATCACTAGTAACTCACAGTGGGACACCCTGCTTTTCATGGCATGGTCACTCATACAGTAAAAACAAACTGTAAAAGCTCGTAACATGTTTTTTAAGAGATTAATTACTCGATAGTTGGAAAGCTACATGAGAAGGCAACAGAAATTTTAGTAAAAAGGATGAACTTACTTAAGTTTCATTTGTAATTTTAGAAAATATGTTAATTTAAGAAAAATTCAGATGCCTTGAATTCATATGTTTTGTTGAACATTAAACTCTTCCATATACAGTGAAAGGTAATGAGGAGATGTGAGGCCCATTCACACTTATGATGATTAGTGGATGATATTATAAATAGTATTTAGGCAAAACTATCTAAAAATAGATGCAAACATCATTCCACACTTTAACACAAGCCTATTTGCAAAAGTGTTGTAACAAAGACTCCAGTGGAAAGAGGTTTTCTCAATGATCTCAAGCCTATCAGGTATGTCTAATGTCTGTGTCTGGGTGAAATAAAAATTAAAAAAAGCAATGTGTTTGCTTTCATAAACTTTAGAAATTCTTCCAAATCTTTATTTCAAAAATGAAAAGATATCTATGCCTCATTTTTACTCTCTTTTTGAAAATTCAGTACAGGAGAGATAAAGTAAAATAAAGATGTTTACTTCTTGTCTTTGGTGGTTCTGGAAGTTGCTTAGGAGAGTCAGGGAGGGACTGAAGGGTAGGAATTGGTTTGGTTTTGGAACCATGCTTTTGAAAACTTTGGTGTCTTTTAGAACATGAGGTAGAGTGTCATCCAAAAAAATTCTGAGAAAGAAGACAATATGCAAAGAAGACCCTCCCTCTTCTCAAATCAAGACCCATCCCCATGCAAAGTGCCTGGCCTCTTAAAGGCCATAGGGGTCATCTTATATGTGGGTATCCATTATATGTACCCTGATTAAGTGCTGAGGAATTGCCTGAAGCCTAAAAACTTAAACCAGTTTAGGGTTAAGTCTCTGACAGAAAGTGAAGTTCTTTTGGTGCCAACAGTCTGCCTTTATTGTCTGGCGGTGGTTCAGTCTCACTGAGAGGCTGGCTTTTGCTAGAGATATGCTCACAGAAGTAGGTCTACAGAAACACTGGGGTTACTGGGATGAGGTTAAGTTTATTGATGAGATACCTGATTTGAAGTTCATTTTAGAACTCACTATTGGTGGCCAGAAAAATGGAACTGTCTCTCCAAAATGATCTTTTAACAAAATCTACTCATCCACCTGTAGCTCTTCCTTCTAGTAGGACAAAAACCGTTTTCTAAGGAATTTATAGAAGTAGGATTCTTAGATGCCTTTTCCTCTCCTAAAATAGGTTTGCATTCAAAAGGTGTCTTAAAAATAATAAAAACTTAACCTAAAGTATAACTTTTTATTGCAGGATTAAGAAAAAAATCAGTTTTTAAAAATCTGAAAGAATTTTCTTAACTAAATTCACCCTAATATGGACACATTGAAATCACTGATAGGAAAAAACAGTTAAAATTGATTCTAAAATGGACAAGTATCTTCAGTTTATTTGCAAATAGGCATGTCCAATTTGGCAAAAGATTATACTTTAAATCTGGCAGGATTAAATGATTGTTGGCAGGTGGATATACTTTCTGCAGTTGGGCCACACTATCTATGTAACTTCTTATATTTCTTATTATAGTCTTTAAACAAAGCAAGAGTGGTAACTATTTTAAGAAATCTGAAATATATGAAATAAATATGAAATGTCTCATATCAAGTAAGTTCCCAGGAAGAAAGCTTCTACACATAATGTGAACTGTATTAGTGTCAAACTTAGGTTATCTACCCATGCAGCGTTGGCATGAGAACGATACAAAGTTCGCCTTTATCAGACACATCTATTATTAAAAGCAAAACTCTAGTCTGTGAACAATGATACGGAGTCAGTCACGATGTGGCAGAGAATAAAGGAGTCATGAATCATCCAAGCAGAGATGTGTTTGGATGCTTACAGGCAGGCTGAATATTTTAAATACTCAGCCAACTTGCATGTTGCAAGACTCTGCCATGTTGGTCTATGTCAGGTCCTCAAAGCAGTTCTCACAGAAGCAATACTTTGAGGAGCAGTATCACAGCATCAGTTCAGACTGATCTGCTGGCATCATGGCTCCCTTGAAGAGGCAGTGTTTCCTGCAGTGACATCACAACATGGTAACTCCCTAGAAATCAGCGTACCTTGTAGGTAACTCTGGTGTCGGGGGCGCCACCGGGCCGCTGGGCAAGTCGGTTATTTCAATAGCCCTCAATCTCTAATGTAAATATAACAATCATACAATAAATATTGCACAAACATGCATACAGAAACCTAAATCACACTAGTATAAAAACAGAACAAAAGAACCAGTATCCAAATATATAATGATAACCTGTTTTTAACAATCCATTTCTTAAATTACCAGTCCTGCTATTTGTACTATTAACTCTTTTTTGATGGACACGTGTAGATCTGTTGAAAACTGCCATCTTGGAACAATTCAAGAGCATCTATCCTCCTTATCTGAGTGTATAGATTGTATATGAAAGGGAAACACATAAACTACAGAGCATTTTTTTCTCTAAAATCACACTATAATTGTATAGTGTGTAGTATACAGCAGTAGTCATGCACAAGCAGTTGTATAGTACTTGTAACTCTGCTACTCTTCCTTCTATTCTGTTGTTATGCAGTTTTATTTCCATGATATCAAGTAAAATATGTGGCCATTAGCTTAGTGAGTTTATTTTACACTTGTTTGATCCTTTCCTTAACAGATCCATAAGCAGGAACTGAATTAAGAAATATGGGCAAAATGGAGAAGAAACACAGTCGTGTTGGACTCTTCGTGACCTCATGGACTGTAGACCACCAGGCTCCTTTTTCCCTGGGATTTCCCAGGCAAGAATATTGGAGTGGGTTGTCATTTCCTGCTCCAGGGGATCTCCCCGACCCAGGGATCAAACCTGTGTCTCCTGCATTGGCGGGTGGGTTCTTTACCACTGAGCCCCCTGGGAAGCCTCAGAAGAAACATAGACAGTTCACTGTATCATTTGTCCTTTGATGCAATAATTATAACTCCTTGTTTGAATGAGTTTCGTGAAACAGTTATGCAGGGGATACAACAGTTATGAAACAGTTATTTAAATGTTCATATACAGGCAAAGCTACCCAAATATGCATGAAATTTAGATGAGAATTAATTGAAGCTTTATGTGTGTTATAATACCTGCACTGATAGGCAGGGCTTTTTGTTGCCTTATTACAAGATCCCTTTATGCTTGCAAACCTAATTTACATAATCAAATGCATCTGCTTACAGGCACAAGGGGTGAGTTAGAAAGGAAAACTCATTGGCTTTCTAAATCTGGCATTATTCAGAGTGTTTTTAGTTTATGTTTTTCCTCAGTACAATACATAAAAATCCATATTTATAAGACATTCAGTATTTTATGAGTTCTATTTTAGGAGCTTGTTTTTACCTAGAGGCTACAAAATTATGTTGAAAACAGGTGTACCCAGAATTACAAGGGAAAAATAATAAACTCCTATTCTTAATCCAACAGGGCCAAACTTTTACAAAATACCTCAAGTTATCTAAAGCTGTAAGTTGATCACCTAGATGTGACTGAAGTCTTCATCACGTGCTAGCAGTGAGGGGAAAAAGTACAAAACTCACTTTCTCAGCCATTTCATGAGAGTGATGTAGAGAATGCTCCCTTTCTGAGAACATCCTCCTCTGTTCATAGCTGGCTAGTCGACAAGTGAGCCACGAAGAGAGGGTGCAGCCTCCGATCCCAATGCATGCGAGAGACATGGAGGCGAGATGCAGGGGGTAGAGGGAAGAGGTCTTCTTCGTCACTGCCCGGAGGAACTGAAAATTCAGGATGCCCCCAATGAGCCCGCAGATGCAGCAGGCGGAAAAGAGGATCATCTGGTGAGAAAAAGAGGGGCCGGGGGGTTAGAGTGGAGGAGGTGAAGTTGACGGGCGCACACCGCACTGTCCTGCTGCACATCAGGGATGGCTGAGCTAGATAGAGAGAAGGTGCCATGGGCGCTCCTTGGAGCACAGAGGCCGTCTTTTCACCTGACTTCTCTGCACTCCGACTCAGTGCAGAGGGCCTGCACCGCAGTGGCTCAGGAATTCATAGCTGACTATATAAAGGCCAGGGATACAGCTTATGAAAATTCTGAAGTAAGTAAAATTTATCTTACAGTAGATTCAGATTTAAATAATATTTGATATCTATAGTGTGCCGCTATGCCAGGGATGTGAATATGTAGAATCTCAATTAACCTACGCACTAATCCTCTGAGAGGTAAGGTACATTTGGAAAATGAATGGTAAGCAGTTAATATTGTGGTTCAGGGACTGAAAAATCCAGATTTTCAGAGTCAAAATCCAAAAATCTGCTCACTGAATTGCTATTAATTCCACTGAGCTTCAAAACTTTGGACCCCTATAACTGTGTGAGCTTAGGAATTTAGTTAACATTTTTTTTCATTTGATTGGTTTAGTATCTGTTTTCTCAACAGGCAAATTAAGGACCCCCCCCGCCCCCCCCCCCCCCGCCCCGAACTGCCTCTTTATTTTTCAAATCTTGTTACTCTGTGACACCACCCAGTAGATATAACAAGATACTGTTTGGTGGATTGCTATGGAGAAATGCAGGATGTGGCTTCACTTTTGATCCTATTCTTGGTTTGCTCTGGGTCTCTATTAATAGAGCTTGGGGATTTTTATTCAACTTAAATATCGCAGGATCCCTGGCAGAACCAAGCATAATGCCTTCTGTGTAGTAAATGTTCTGTGCATATTTAATAAATTCAGTTGAATATTTTAATAGCTTTAATGGCTTTATTATGTAATTTTTATCTAGCTTCAGTTCTCCTATGGGCTTTCATGGTACTTCTCAGTGTGATGCTAATTTAACAACCAACCTTATTTCCATTTTTCTCTGGAATACAGTCTCTATTCCAGTCACCTCCCCGGTCCCTCAATAGAGCTTTTTCATTCCTGCCTCAGTGATATTTTCATTCCCTGGAAACTATTTTGCTTCTTGTTTGGCTCCTTAAATGGAAGACTAACTCTTACTTCCTCAGAAAACATTCCTGGACATCCCTTCTGGCATAAGTCCACAGGGCAAACAGCTATATAACTTTAGTATTTAATTTTAGATCATTAGATACTATTTTCTGTTGATAGTTGAATTTAGCAGACACTTCCTGAGCACCTAGCATCTATTAGGCCATCAATGAGGCAGCAGTTGTCATTACAAGAAAGAACAGCTCATAGTTGTTCCTCTTGAGTACACTGCTGTCCAGTCTAAGAGAAGATCCAACCTCACAACATGGTATGACAAATATTAAGAAAGAAGGATGGACGGCTGCGCTTGGAGCAGAGAGGAGGGGAATTCAGCCCAGCTGGGGGTTTCAGACAAGGCTTCCTTGACAACATATCACATAGGCTAAGTGCATGTAGTTCCCAGCAAAGGGTAAGACCGCGGGTGTGTAATATAGCATGATGGGCAGAAAGAATTACTAGTTTGTTCTGTTTCTCTAACTTAATTCAGCATTTTTGATTGTGTCAGTCTTACAGTACTTATCACCAAAACTGAAAGCCTAGTGATGGATGAGTATAATCTTTTAATAATTGATTAAACATAACACTAAATGTCAATTACCAAATAAATGAATCATTGCAAGTGGGAAATTGTAGCTCCCAATTCCAAATAGAATCAATCAGTTCTATTTCCTTTTAAAGTATATTCAAATGGCATGCTGTTTCCTGGGAATATATTTTCGTGTTTACCCATTCTCAGAAAATATGGAAAGATATTACATTCTAGCCTTTTAATAATTACTGTTAATTAATAAAATAAACAACAAACTTAAAGGACTATTACAGGAAAACACTATCTCCTATGTTATTGCCAGTAATTCCTTAAGGGTGTGACACTTCATTAACAAGTACAGATAAAACATTCTTACTCAAGAATTAAAATGTTAAAATCTGTACCAAGTTTTAACCATATACTATTTTCAATCTTACCAGACTAGAGATATGTGGAGTGGAGGAATTCTCACATAATTTGATTAAAGGGTAGAGACTCTTTGACAGTTAATGTCTTCTATGGAAACCCCAGATGGTACAGGGAGATAAACTAGATGGTAGTTTCTAAAAAACTCAGATCTTATAATTTTTTTTTTATAACTTATGAAAGAATTAGAAAAACAGAAGATCTGTTTAAAAAAAAAAAACACCCATTTTTCAAAAAACAAACAAAACAACTTCCTTTTTCTTCTATGAATTGAGCACTTGTGTCCCTTCAAAGTTGACTATGCTGAAGCCCAAGCCCCGGTATCACAGTATTTGGAGGCAGGACCTTTGGGAGATAATTAGGTTCAAGACACTGGAGTTTCAGAAATCAGGTCCACGCTTTTCTAAGAGTCTAGAGAACTCTATTCCAGGAGAACACAGCCAGAAATTTGTAGCCCAGAAGAGAGTCTTATTAGAACCCAACTGTGCTGGCACCTTTATCTGAGACTTCCAGCCTCCAGAACTGTGAGAAATAAATTTCTGTTCTTTGTGAGCCTCCCAATCCATGGTGCTTTGTCAGAGCAGCCCAGGCTGACTTACATGTCTCTCCCCCCACCCCACCCCCAACAGCTTTAAAGGGCTTCCCTTTCTTCCCTCCCCCTTTCTTTTGTTCCTTCTCTCCTTCCTTTCTTTCATTTTCTTTTATCCATGTTCCAAGAAAGTGTTAGCATATAGCCATGGAGAGTCTTGTTAGAGAAAAAGTGTAGAAAGTAAGAAAACCATGGGAAAGAGTGATGGGGGAATCACAAATGCAAATTACAAGCCTCCAAAAAATGTCTATCTGAACATTTCCTTAAGATAATTTTTAAAAATCACACCTCACATTTCTGAAGCAATGGGGGCGTCATCCTTTCTGTTGCAATAGGTACCCTCACTAAGAGAACTATGATTAGAAAAAGGAGTTAAATAAAGGACTGCATATTCCCCCTTCCCTGGCCTTCTCCTTTTTTAGTCTCAAAGACCACTTTCTAGGGTCCATGTGCAATATTAATTTTGCCAACTAATAAAGGTCTGTGTTATTTCCTATTGTCCTCAATAAAATAAATATGATTTTTTTCTACTTTCTAATTCTCAAAAAAATGTCATGAAAGACAGGGGGAATCCATACTTCAGCATGCTAGAATCCTCTAGTCTACATCAGTTAACTGGGAGCACCCTCCAAAACACAAAACAGTACCATAAAACTTCTGAGAATGCTTACATTCACATTCATAGTCATAAGATAAAATTAAATTTTAAAAATCTTTGGGAATTAACTGCAACTATAACAACACAGCTGTTTTGCTGCTTTGCACAATGAACTTCACAGTCAAAGCCAGCGATCTTTAGGCTCACTTCCATATCTTAACAGTTAAATTCCCCATGAATTCAACCTCTGTTTTTTAGCTCAGTGAAGGCTTCCTGTGTCTGGAAGTCTATAAATGAAAAGTGGAGACTTCCATCACAACAGTCATTAGGGGTTGCAGATTCATGTATTTAAAGAGTGTATCAAAGCTTTTCTTTTTCTCTTGTCACAGTCTGTAATAATCTTGATTGTTTTCTTTGAAAAGAAAAAAAGTTGGAATTTGTCAGTCTTATTTTTAATCCTAAATGAGTAACATTCAGGATATGAAAGTTGGCTAGTCATTATTTCCCTTTTCGAGCTCTTACATTTCAAACAGTTCAGTGCATAATACAAACATGGCAAAAACTTACGACAAGTCCAGATTTTTTTTTGGCGCACAATATTCCACATATGCCACAAAGAAGAAACTGAAAAGGAAAAGAAGAACAATTATTTCATATCCAAATACAAGAGGAGTTCTAGTTTTCAGCTTATAGTTCACTCATACACTTGTTTCAAGGAAGCTTGAAAAATTTTACATTCCCATCAAAAGTGGAAAAGAAAAATACCTCATTCTAGAATAGTAATGGATAAAAATGCAAACTCTAATGGAAGTTTTGTGCAAAGTTGATATAGGTGATTGTTGAATTTAAGAAAAACTTGAATCTGCTTTGCCAACAGGCAAAATGATGAAGTAGATGAGTTTAGAGTTTTGTTCCTCCTGTCTGCTTTCACTGTCTTCTTATCCTTTCTGTTTTCTCAGGGAAAAAGTGAGATGGTACATTCATTCATACTAAGTTATGAGAAATCAATGGGCTCTATCTACTATAGGAAGGGAATGTATCACACATAAAAGGACAAGGCCCCAGACAGGAGATATTTTTCTATAGAAATATTCTTTGTACATCTCAAACTATGTCAGGTAAAATAGCTGCCTCCTCATTCTAACAGAAATACTGTCCTTGTGGATATGTCAGAAGAACACAGGGGATAAAGCTGTCAGTGGGATGTAATTTCTTGTAAATAAGCACATTGATGACATAATTGCTTTGCAAAAGCAGCTGCATCAAATAGTCTGCCAGTGAGACACTAGTATACATTTGAGTTATCAGAAAGTGGTAAACTGTTTAGTTTGTAGAGAAACGTTTAGGGACATTTGTGCATACTTCTGCTGGAAGTAAACCATAGAAGTAAAACAATACATTCATTAATAAATAATAAGGGCTTTCAGATTAGCAAAGGAAACACTGAATATGGTTACCCTTGTCTTCATTTGATTTTTCTTTTAAATGTTATTATTTCAATCGGAACTAATAACATAAGTGGTTTTAACTGAGTTTAAACTGAGTTAAACTCTGAACATATTTTAAAATACTCTAAGCATTACCTGAAATATGTAATATGTTTGAGGGAAACACCAACAAAATTTGATGAAAAATAATCGGTAAGAAAAATTTACCTTTGCAGAGAAATTTCCATGTAAGAGAACAAAATGATTATAAAGCAGGCAAAGATGCAGCAAGATAGTTAGATCAGGGAACACAAGGATATATAAGAATTTGGTATATAACTAAACACAGCAGCAAAGTCACAGATTGAAATAGAAAATACAAATACTAATACATTAAATTATAATTTTGATAGTAAAAGACAGTTTATTTTGTGCCTTGGCTCTCAAAGGCACAGAATAAACTGGGATTATATTCAGAAAGCATATAATAGGCAAGGGGTTGTCATACTATATAAATAAATCTAATAAAATGATTTTAATTCCATTAAACCATGAACCGAAAGAAACTCACAACTTTATAAAAGGTGCATACTTGCAGAATTTTCAGAAGCCTTATAAAGCCACTTCTGAGTAACCATTTCTAACCTCCTCTATGTTCTAGGTCTTGATGATCTTGTCCTCACATGGATTCTGTCTTACTGATCTCATCTCTGGCCTTTCCAGGTTATCTTCAGGTCATTCCAGTTTGGACCGATTCTGTTTCTCTCAGTGCTTCCAAGCTTCAAACCAGAGCTTCAGATGTCTTACGTCTGCTCCCCTTACTAACCCATTATTACCCTGAAAGTCCATCATGGAGAACTCATTCTTGAAATAATTTGAAAGCAGTGCAGTTTTGTGTTCCTTTGATCTTTTTGAAATCTATAAACATTGCCATGATTTAGCCACAGCAAAGCCCAAGGGAACCTCAGGACCCTAAGCAGAGCTCAACCTAACTCTCCAATCACTTGGTTGGGACAATTCAAGTGGCAATAAAATTGCTTCTTCCTAGTGTACCTCTGAGAAACGGAAGGTCAAATTTGGGAGGGAGAAGGTAGAGAAGGAAGGGAATCCAACAACATTTCTCCACTCTCATGCAGGCCTGCAGTGTAAATACTACTGGTAGAGTATCCAAAATCCACTCTCCTTAGAGGAAACTGTAACCTGAGGAAAAACAGACCCATGTAATGGGAAGGAAAATAGATCATGCAATTCTGAGGTGGGTTTAAGGGACCCTGGCTTAGGTTTAGCCATCACAGGTTATAGAAAAGAGTAGGGGAAGCACAAAAAGCAGTAAATAATCTTTTCTTTTATTGGCTAGCTTTACCCCAAGTCATAGCACCAGAAAGGATCTTAAAAGATGACTTAATTGAGCCCTTGCAGTCTGCACATGGGAAATGAGAGGTCCAGATAGGTTTAGTCATTTACTCAGGGTCACACATCAGGGTCACAAATCACATATAAAATCAAAGGCTTGATTAAGTGTCTAAGTTAACTTATTTCTAATAATGTAAAGGGAAGTGAGAGTGAGTTGCTCAGTCGTGTCTGACTCTTTGCAACCCCATGGACTATATAGCCCACCAGGCTTCTCTGTCCATGGAATTCTCCAGGCAAGAATACTGGAGTGGGTAGTCATTCCCTTCTCCAGGGGATCTTCTTGATCCAGGACCTAAGCCGGGTCTCCTGCATTGCAGACAGATTCTTTGCATCTGAGCCACCACGGAAGCCATGTAATATAAAGGGAATGCTTTTCAAAAGGACTTTTCAGTGTTAGTGCAGACTACATTATACTAGAAGATCTGACCAGAAACATTCAATGACACCTCATCATCTATAATTGCACTCTTTATCCTTGCCATTTTTTAATTTTTATTGTAATAAAAATAATTACAAGATTAGTTGATTGTACCACAGCCTGAAATTAAGTGTACCTTACTATATAAACAGTCTGTTATAATATTTAAAGATACTATTTTTATTCCACATAACTTCATCCAGGATGCAAAACACTGACCCATATTGTAGAAATTATGAAACAAGTGAAAAACAGATTAGTTTTTTTAAAAAGTAAGTAAAACTGATGGCTGGATATTTATATCTATATCATATCTACATCCTGAATTAGATATATAATTTTACATGAGAGTATATAATTTTATTTCTGAGAAGTTAGACTATTTAAACCAGGGAGAATTATTTGCTTTGCTCTTACTAGGAAGTAATGTAAATGAAGCAATCTAATGGTAGGACATCAAGGGCAACTATGTAATAAAACTAGTTTGTCCTCCAAGTGAAATTTGTTTGAATTCAATTAAGATTAAATCCAGTAGATAACTAAGGCTGTGAATCATTGTAGGATGAAATGGAGCTGTTATGCAATAGCATTCTATATTTTGAGTGATTTTCTTAATGAAGGTCCATGGAGCCTTCTGCTATTGCTTAGGATGAAGAAATGCTAAAGAAATACTGGTTTAACAGTAAGAAAAAGTGAATAAACTGCAGACTGGTAACTTTTCCAGAAGTGACCAGGAATGATGGAAAGCTGAGGGTGAGGCATGGACAGGGAAAAGTTCAGGTGGCCACACCCCTCCATTAATGGAATCTGAAAACATGCACCAAAGACAATCATTATAACAGGGAAACCAATTCCTCATCAGAATGGCTCCACTGCTCACGGTAACATCATAAAAGAAGATATTAAGATAAAATACAAGATTTTGAAAAAGTATCTTTTGAAATTGTGCTGAACATTCAGCCAATCTCTCATTTACAAAAGAGATTACAAAAAAAGATATGCTCATTAGGGCAAAAGAACTGTGGTAGGCTGAATAATGGCCACCATGATACATACATCCTAATCCCCAGAATCCATGAATGTTTCCTTATAGGCACAAAAGCCTTATGCAGATATGATTAAATTAAAAAAATCTGAAGATGAGGGGATTATTGTGGATTATTCAAGTAGGTGTTAAATATAATCACAAGGTCCCTTAAGAGGAACACAAGAAGGTCAAAAGAAAATTATCTGAAGATGCAGAGACACAGATACTTGAAGAGGCTACACTGCTGTCTTTGAAGGTGATGGAAGAGAGCCCTGAGGCAAAGGATGTGGATGGACTCTGTGATGGAAAGGGTAAGGACACGGGATTCTCCCCTGGAACCTATAGAAGGAGTGTAGGCCTGTAGGCCCATTTTAGACTTCTACCCTCCAGCATTGTGAGATAATAAAGTTCTGTTATTTTAAGTAACTAAGTTTATGGTAATTTGCTCTAGCAGCAACAGGAAACTATTAGAGGCTCCAAAGCATTATTTCATCCGGCAGTCTCAAAAGAGTTAGACACTGTGAAAGAACTAGAAGCTGTTCTTAGGGAAAACAAACAGAGAAAGGCATGAGTTGAGAGAGAAATACAGTAGCAAGAGCACAAAATAAAGGAAAACAGTAAATTTTTAAAATAGAAATTATTGATGAGAAATGGGAACAGTGAGAGACTTCTTTTTTTGAGGCTCTAAAATCACTGCAGATGGTGACTGCAGCCATGAGATTAAAAGTTGCTTGCTCCTTGGAAGAAAAACTATGACCAACCTAGACAGCATATTAAAAAGCAGAGACATTACTTTGTTGACAAAGGTCCAGCTAGTCAAGCTATGGTTTTTCCAGTAGTCATGTGTGGATGTGAGAATTGGACTATAAAGAAAGCTGAGCACCAAAAAACTGATGCTTTTGAACTGTGATGTTGGAGAAGACTCTTGAGAGTCCCTTGGACTGCAAGGATATTAAACCAGTCAATCCTAAAGGAAATCAGTCTTGAATATTCATTGGAAGGACTGATGCTGAAGCTGAACCTCTAATACTTTGGCCATCTGACGCAAAGAAAAGATTCATTGGAAAAGACCCTGATGCTGGGGGGGATTGGGGGCAGGAGGAGAAGGGGACAACAGAGGATGAGATGGTTGGATGGCATCACTAACTCAATGGATATGAGTTTGAGTAAGCTCTGAGAGTTGGTGATGGACAGGGAAGCCTGGCATATTGCAGTCCTTTGGGGCGCAAAGAGTTGGATGTGACTGAGTGACTGAACTGAACTGATTGATCAGAAAAATGAATATCTCTTTAGAATGAATATGCCAGATGATGCTGGCATGAGAGATGGCAGGTTGGAG